TATTGAAAAACTATTTCATATAGTCTGATGTTCTTTCAGTGATAACAGGAACAAAAGGCATATTTTTTCTCAAGAAAAATCGAAAATCTCGAATAACTCAAAAACCGTAAGGCTTTGAGCTAAGGTATTTTTTTCTTAAACGATTCTAAATGGTCCTATCTATCCTATCACCTCCACAAGACTTTGCATCGACCTTCCAAACACCCTGTATAACAAGTTAACGCGTGGATGTCTTGTAGGCATGCGATTTCAAAATTGACAAGACTGAGCCGTTTCACATAAATGATATTCCACATACTTTATACCAATTTTTTTATTCTCAGACAAGTTTCCATAATAAATGTATGTTATTGTTAATGCAACTCCTGAAACTTATCGTATCTATGTACATGAAAAAAGCCACTGTGATCAACGAAACGTCTGCAATAAACAAAAATTGAAACATATAAGTGGTTTAATTCGACCAGACAATGCAGTTCTATGAAATGTGATATGGTGTCCTGTTTTCCAGACAGTTCAAGACTTTTGAGCTGAAGAAACATACTCGTGCTTGGAAAATGATATTTTAGTCGGATTGAATATGAATAATTTCTGAAAGAACTCTGAATTTCTGAAAACACGTAACAATTTCGATATCTACTCCGATAAGAATGTTTTTATTCCTCACGTCAACTGGCGAGGAGGTTGTGAAGTCGAGAAAAATTACGAAATTGAGATACTATGGTTCTGGATGGTACATGACACGAGTTTTTTTAACTGAGAAAGTACCGCTCGGATTTTGAATGACATTTTAACTCAAGGTCATTAGAATGCCAAGGATAAAAAGATTTGTTGGTAGCGATGGAGCTATGGGCTCAAAATAAAAAAAGATATTCTGAAACATCGTTCTTGATCGTTTAGAGACTATGGTAGCCGTTCTATAGTTTGATATGTAGAGGCTTACGGTATATCGTGCTTAAGTGAGTAATGTATGGGGCTATCCCATTTGTATTCTGATCTATCTGTATATGTTATGCAGGTGACAATTCAGTCCGAGACGTCAACCTGAACGTTTTGAAAAAACACTTTTATCTAAAGCTACCATAATTACATATTAATAAACATTGAAGATGATTATGTGTTACAAAAAGTCAAACATTACGTTCTTAGTTGATGGCCTCAGCACAAATCAAATGTACCTCAAGCCGTTAAAGTTAACTGGTCAATCAGAAATGATATTTATTTACATAAAAATGTATTATTTTTTGGAAAGAGGCTTTTGATATCAGCATCATTCAAGTCGGAATTTTTGAGTATTGTACATGCTAATTTCAGGGCATTATTTCATGTAATAAATAATAGATTGAAAAAACTATAAAACACGTTTTGAAAGCTAAAAAGTAGAAAATAAGTTTTAATTACAAAGAGTTTATATTACAGTAGTAGTTGGGCGAACAATCACTCATAATTAATCACCTCAAAACAAAGTTATAGTAAAATTAAAGTTATTAACAGAATAATTCAATTCAGAGTAAAAAGCGTGGGGTGCTTGATATGTTAAATGTTACAATCATTTTTTAACAACTACCTATGAAAATATAGTAAAATGCAGCCGCTTTTTTATCTGAATTGAATTATTCTGTTAATAACTCAAATTTTATTAGAATTTTATTTTGAGGTCATCATTTATGATTGATTGTTCGACCATCTACTACTGTAATATAAACTCTTTGTAATTAGAAATTATTTTCTGCTTCTTAGTTCAGTTATCTTTAAAAGCGTGCTTTTTTGTTTTTTTAAACTATTATTTATTATTCATATTTTTAGTTCGATTTATCAATTATTTCTTTGTGGACACTTCATGATGTTGCATTGTCATCGTTCCTTGATACATGTCGAAATTTCAAATTAATCAAACTTCTGGAAATTGGTGAAAATTATGCTCAAAGATTCCGTTACACACATACATACAGGCCAAGCTAATATAAACGTGTTAAAAAGAAAATAAAAGATGAGAAAAAGAAGAGAAAACTAATGAAATCATATCTGACGTGTCAAGTATGCTAAGAGCAATGAGAAACAACCGTTAACACCACGCCCACCAACAGATTTTTCATGTCAAAAATAGGTATTGATTTTATGAATATGAATGATCTTGATTTTTTAATAATAGTTGATTATTATAGAAAGTTCGCCATAGTACAAAGATTATGCAATAGAACAGCAGAAACTGTTAATTAATGTTTGAGGAATATATTATTATATTAATGCTTTTGCGAATAGGGAGATATCTCGGACTAATACACTCAAACAGATACCCTAGTTAAATTTATAAAATCCCTCTTTTGAGGTCGGGGGTTGAAAACGAAGATACATGAAGAGTCGCCCTTTTTTTATCATTACTAATAAATCGCGTGAAACTGTTTGTAAAAAATCCCTGTTTCTATCTTCCGTCGAAGGTCCTATTACTAGCTTAACCGTACTATAAGACAGAATGCGCTTTCAAGCTTCAAACCGATGGTTTTAACTTTGGAATACAAGACAAATGATCGGTTATTAAATCATTCATTCCTCTTATTGTGTTTGTAATGAATAGACAGATCGAGGAAGTATAGTGTAAACACTAGAGTGACTTTTTCTTCTTGAATTGCGAAGGATGGAAGCGTTAGATCATAATGCATGAATAGATTATCTCATAACCGGTAACTAGAAGAGTAAAATTTGAAAAAAGTAGCTGTTACAGTATCGGTAGTTGCAATCTAGTGTTATCTTTGTAGATGCTGGAGATAACTGTTATCTGTCATGTGCAATTATATTTCGTTTTGCAATTATGTATTCATAAAGTATCAGATTAATTCCATACTCCTCCAAACAGTGTTTATCATGCATGTAGTAATCAGAACGGTCATTGTAAAAAACAAGGTTCGATAATAAGTAACTGTTTAGAAGTAACCACACAGTTTTTTTTTAAATAAGGACTCATTCCGTCTCGAAAAGTCATAATAATGTTGTATGCTTTGTTCTTCATTGTCAAGCAAAGTTGTTGTAAATGTCTTAGGGTAGCAACGTCAATATTTCGAAAATAGTGTCGCAAAATGGGACAATTGTTTGAAAATTAAAAAGTCAATATTATTTCTATGATGAGGCATTCTTTGAACTCCCAGAAATTCTAACTGATATTGTCAAATTTGTAACAATAAAAATATCTATATTTAATATGCATTACATTTGACTGCAATATACAGGGTGTTAATAAAGTATTTAGTCTAAAACCATCGAATCCTTGTTCAATTTGAAGTCTAAATGTTCATATGAACATGGGTCCGTAACGGCTCTCTTTTCGAGGTATAGCACTATTACTAAAGAAACACGAGTGATGTTCCAAATATTTCTTTGAATAATGAGACGTATTTGTTGAACAGTTGGTATAACCTATGATAAATTTTGCATGTTTTACAAGTTGCTGAGGCTCAATATGAACGTGGATAAAAATAGTATTATCCTGTATATATGTAAAAAAAATATTTAGAAGGTCACTAGTCAAAACAAATCAATGTCATGCTATTTTTTCAAAAAATGCTGGATAACATTATCCGCATCTACGTACATGGAGGGTCTGAAAACAACTGTAAATCAAGTGATATTCACCTCAGGACATACTTAATTAAAATAAAATACGTTCCAGTCTTTTATAATTTTTTAGAATATATCATTTCTTTTAGTGCTAATATGCTCTAGCTTGAAAACAAAGCCGTTGCGGATCCATGTTCATATGGAAATTTCGTCTTCAAATTGACCAAGGATTCGATGGTTAAAGTATGTCTACATACTTTATTTACATCATGTATATGTATAGTGGTAATAATCAACTATTGACAGATTCGTTTCTCATGCATAATCTATGGGAATATCATGATTGCAGAAGTGTTCGACTTCAAGATATATTGTAAGCATGAAAATCCATGTTTCTAACTTAATTTCTTATCGCATGAAATATGTTTACTTGACACATTTCGAATATTAATGTACTAGTTAGATCATCAATGTATGCAAAGCATGTCTTTAGTATTATAGATTACTTTGCTGATTACCGTATTCTAACGCTTAAGGAAAAGAATGTTCTAATTCTCGCTGTAGGGCGAAAAATCTCATTCATGATTTGTCTTTTGGAAGACCTTGACTTTGGGCAATTATTCTTTGTAAAAATAGGTACATCAGTAGTTCCATCATAACTCATTTATTTTTTGAGATATAAACTAAGTGTTTAGCATTTATTTTCTAAAACAAACACGTAAAAAATATAACATTTTGTATAAAAAAATCGCAAAGGAAAGATTATAGTTTAGGTGTTTTTTAAGTTTGGAAATACAATAAAAAAGAGTCAGTGCAGATGATCATATTTTATTAAAAAAGAAATTTAGATATTATATTAGATTTAGAATTATATTTAGAATTTTTGATCACTTGCAGAGGCTTCTCATTTACTGAATTTCCAGAATGGCAGTTGTGATGTTTATAAATAGAGGGTCCCGCTAAGAGACATCGAAATGTAAGCCAACATGTCAAACCAGATCAATTATCTCACTCATATGGACTAAAGAGCTACAAATTCCTAATTATAGAAGTGAATATTAAATAATCTAAGTACTGGAAATTAGAATTAAAAAGGTACAAAAATTTCCGGTAACAGGTATTTAAGCTTTAACTATAGATGTGCGATATCACGGACTGCTCGCAGTTTGTGATTTAATAAAACCTAGTACCTCTTAAAGTAATAATCTGATACCGGTCGACAAATACGTGAATAATTCGAATTAGCGAATATATCAATATTAAATAGACGCAGGCTTATTCTACTATGCGTACACCATTTTGACGTGGAACCGAATGTGTTTCACATTTCTCTCAGAACTTGTACCTCGGTTCCTTGTCTCGCTTCAGCCACTCGACAAAATACGAGGGATGTCTCTTAAGTTTTGGATATGGAAATAAAACAACACGGTCGGTAGTTTTAAATGACTTTATTGTTTTTTGAAGTATTCTCCACGAAGATTGATACACATCTACATGCGCTCGAACCAATTTTCGAAGCACTTATTTCACTCATTTGCTAGCAGATCCAAAACGGCATTTTTGAATGCGTCGACTGCTTCTTCTGGTGACTCTAACCTTTGACCGCGCAGTCTGTTTTTAATTTTCGGGAAATTAAAGAAATCGTTAGGACTTAGATCGGGACTATATGTTGGATGGTCCAATAATTCCACGTTTTCTTCCGTTAAATACTGCCATGTTTTTTGGGCTGTCTGCGAGCTTGCATTGTCTTGGTGGAGGATGATTCTTCTCTCGGGGTTGATTTTTCGAAGCACGGTGATGACTTTTGGCAAACAAATGGTGGTATACCAATCCGCAGTAACAGTTCTTTGCTCATTAAGAGTAATGGTTGCAATATGACCCGCTTTTGACACAAATGTCGCGACCATCTTTTTCGAAACACTTCGAGAACGGATGACTTTTGTTGGCTTTTCTTCACCTTGGAACACCCAAACAGTCATTTATTTTCTAGTTCATAACAGTAAAGCCACGATTCATCACCACTAACAATGCTGTACACATTTTTTGAGTTTCTGGAATTGAAACGGTCAAGCGTTTTTGACACCAATTAACACTGTCTGCTTTCTGCTCGTCAGTCAACAGGTGGGGTAACCAACGAGAAACTAATTTTCTTACTCCTAATTCTTCAAGTAAAATTTTTTGAATTGAGATCTTTGAGATCTTCAAGGACGCCTCAATCTCGCGATATGTCACATGTCTATCTTCAATGATGAGTTTGCGCACAGCATCGACGTTTTCCTGGGGACTGCCGTTTTTGGTGCACCCACCGTTGCCGAAAACAGACAGTAACCCAGCAGAGCATTCTTGTTGCGATAATTGTCTCTGAAAGTTGTAATACATTATGGCGCGAAAAGATTTTCGGTTGAGTTCCATTTTTCTAATGACTTGGTGACGCTTAAAATTTCACTGAGGTGAGAACACTGAACACTGCACGTATTGTTGTGAAACTTTGACTTTAAGTTTGTTTCTATATGCAAAACTTAAAAGACATCCCTCGTATAAACAAAGTAGATGCTGGAATCTAAAATGGATCATTATTTTTTGCTCACCACTGTACTGAATTTTTCAATAGACCGATTTATCTTGTTTGCTCTCAGTCATCGGTCTCCAAAAGACTTAGACTTCTACCCTACTGATGATTGTTAAAAAACATAACACAGCGTTGTATACGGTTAGTTGTGGTTTGCAGATGGAAAGCAAACAGTACCTATTTAGCCTCTAGATCACTACCGTTACTATTTACTATCTCACCGTGAACGGAAGTGTCGGTAACGAAAAAATAAGAATTTTTTTTTTTGGAAATCGAAAAATTGTCCTCTAAATTGAAAGAAGATTTTTAGGCAATAATCCGAGCCTTTGTCTCCTTTAAACATTTTTATCTTCCATACGTCAATCTTGTTTATCCCACAAAAAATAATAAATCACTATGGATCTACGGATGTATGTTTGCATAGGCATAGATTCTGGTGTCCTATAGGACTGCAAGCACAAATATATACAGGGTGGCCGATATGTAACTGACTGGTTTGTATTTTGAATATTTGTGAAATGAAATAAAATACTTCCATACGACAAATGTCCGTCTCTAGAAGTCGCGTATGACTGAATCCTCTTTATTACATTTTCCAGCACTTTTTTGTTCTACAGCTGCTCTACAGTATTTGGTTTGTTGGCATAAGCCCTATTTTTCAAAAACAGGTTGTTGGATTTGAGGAGCTAGAAGGTTTTGTACCATATCACGGTAGCGCTCGCCAGTGAAAGTAAGAGTATTACCTGCAGCGTCTTCAAAGAAATAAGGTCCAATGACACCTCCATACCAAACACCGCACCAAGTGGTCGTTGATGGATGACACGAGGGTTCTCTAATGCCCAGATACGAAAATTCTGCTTATTAACAAATCCGTTCGTATCGAAGTGGGCTTCATCGCTCATTATTTGTATTATCGGCGACCTTCATGGTCACTAGGCTGTTGTTCTTGGGTTAACTGACTCTTGTATGGCCGCAAATACAAGCCTTTTTTTAAAAAGTGCATAATGACGTGCGACGAATGCCCAGTTCTTGAGAACAATGTCTGGTAGGCGTCTCGGGGCGCTCCACTACACTTTCACGAACTCTCTCGATATTTTCCGGAGTACGAATAATACAAACACACGGCAAATATTTACCTTTACCTGTTTGTTCAAATTTCCGCACCAACTTACGAATGGAGTTGACACTGCGCACATTATTTCTACCGAAATCTTGTCGTATCTTCCGAATCGTTGCAACAATCGACTCATCATTTTAGTAAAACGTTTTAGCAATGCGGACGCGTTGCGGGATCGTGTAGCGCTCCATGATTTTTTTTTTTTTTTTTTTTTTTTTTTTTTTTTAACGAGGGGGGAATGCATTTACGCACCATACCATAGCACGAGCTACGACGTGTGTGGGGCTCCAGGGTCTTGAAGAGATCACCTAATACCCACTAAACCCTAAACCTCCGCGTGGCCCGACTCATCAGCGTCTCGGTAGGCCATGTGTTGTGCGTGACCTGCGGTCTGCTACAACGTCTCCTCATGTGTTTCAGTCTCTGGGAACGCCGGGTTGGTTCCCTTTACCTCGCACATTCTATCGATGTCGTTAAGCGATCATCGATAGAGGGTCTGCTAGTTTCTCTTGAAACTCTTGTTTTCGAAAAATCAAGAGTTTCAAGTCATCTTACCAATATGTTGTTCCTGGTCCTGGTCCTGAAGGGTCCTGGTCCTGGTGGGTCCTGGTCGTGGCGGGTCCTGGTCCTGGTTGGTCCTGGTCCCGGTGGATCCTGGTCCCGGTGGTTCCTGGTCCTCTGCATCCACGCCGTGGGGGGGGGGGGGGGGGAGCAGCCGCAGTTCTCCTAGTCTCCTAGTCAAGGTTCCAGTTAGCGGGTGCCAACTGGGACCTTGGTCTGGGGTACCTGGTTCTGCGGTTGCGAGGCCTCTCGTCCGGATCGTAGTCCATGAGGAATCGTAGCTGCTCGTTCGGGTGGTCCTGAGCTTTCTCGAAGGTCTTCTCCGCTTTTTTCCTCATGTACTCGTGGATGGTATCCCATTGCAGGTCTCTACGCAAGGTTGAGTTCCTTACGTAGGAAGGTGCATTGGTTGCGATCCGGAGTAGCTTCATCTCTAGAGCAGCAAGTCGCTTGCGGTAGCTGGGGGCAGCGTACCCCCAGACCGCGGAGGCGTAAGCGAGCTGAGGTCTGGCGATGGCCTTGATCAGCCGTAGCTTGGTCGCTAGCGGCATCTGGCTGTGTCTACCCAGTAATGGATAGAGTTGAGCCATGGCTGCTCTGGTTTTTGCGATGACAGCTTCTATGTGCGCTTTCCAGGTGAGGGACTTGTCAAAAACGATCCCCAGATATTTGACATTGTCGCTCCACTGGATATCTTCATCGAAGATGGATGCTTCGAGAGGTCTTGCAATCCTTCTTCGTTGAATGAAGATTGCCTGCGTCTTCTGGACGTTGATGCGGATTTTCCATTTCACGCACCAGTCCTGAATTTGGTCCAGTTCACCCTGTAGTCTCCTACGGATGATCTCGGGTCGTCTATGCTTGGCGGCTATAGCAGTGTCGTCTGCATATAGGGCCAGCATTGTGTCAGCTGTCTTCGGCACATCGTAAGTATAGATGTTGTAGAGCAGGGGGGCTAAGGCTGACCCCTGGGGCACGCCTGCTTCCAGCTGACGTCTTGTTGAATGGCATGTACCAATCTTCACCGTGAACCATCTTTGTGTTAGATAGCTCTGGATCAGTTGGCACATGTTCGCATCGATTCCGGCGGCTTCCATTTTGGCGATGAGTCCATCGTGCCAAACTCGGTCGAAGGCTCGTTCCACGTCCAGCAGGACGAGACCGGTTGCCTCCTGGAGATTGAAGCCGCTGGTGATGTTTTCCGTCAGTCGTAGCGCTTGGAGTTCCGTGTTGTGGGAGGATCTGAAGCCGAATTGCTCTGGGGGGAGAAGTTGCAGTTCTTCTGCCTGCTTCTCTAGTCGAACGGCGATAGCCTTTTCGACTACTTTGCCCACCGAGGAAACCAGGCTGATGGGCCGGTAGTTCTGGGGCAACTTCCGGTCCTTGCCTGGCTTGGTGAGCATTATAACCTGGGCTTCCCGCCACCGCCGCGGGAAGTGGTTAAGTCTCAGAGTGGCATTGGCGATGTTGGTGAGCGCAGCAATGCCTTTGGTGGGAAGGTTCTTCAGCATCCTATTGTTGATGCCGTCCCTTCCCGGCGCCTTTCTGACCTTCAACCTGCGGATGATCAGACGGATTTCCTCTGGACTGGAGGGGTGATCCGTCTCCTGGCCAGGTGGTCGACTCCTCATGTTTTCGGCTGCGACTTCCACGGCCTCCTCGTGGTTGTCGTCCTCGTCTTCATGGAAATTGAGTCTGCATTCGGATTCTAGCGAATCGGCGAATGCTTCGGCTTTTTCTTCACTGGAGTAGGCCAAGCCGCGTTGGCCGTGAAGAGTGGGGATCGCGGTGCGCTGACGACGAAATTTTCGCTGCATAGACCAGGCCGTACCATCCTGGGTCTCTAGTTCTGCACAGGCTGCATTCCATCTGTTGTTTTGGAGTTCCGCGAGTGCGTTCTTCAGAGCTAACGATGCTCTGTTTCGCGCAACTCTCGACTCCTCTGTCAACAGCTGGAGATGTTCTCGCTTGAGTCTTCTGTTCTCCCTGATCAGGTGCCTAATATGGTGCGGTGCTGGACCATTTAGGTATCTAGGAACTGCCGTAGTCTCGGAGCGGGTGCTGTCCTCGTGCGCTCGCAGGACAGCATTCTCCAGCTCCTCTACTGCGTTGTCCAGTTCCTCCGCTGATCGGATGGTTGGAATTTGAGTGATGTTCCTCTGGACGTTGGATTTGTAAAGGTTCCAGTTCGTCCGTTTGGTGCTCAAGCTATCTCGAGTTCTAGACCCTGTACCAAGTGTTAGTAGAATCGGATTGTGGTCCGACGATCCTTCCACCAGGGTCTCTATCTCGAACTCCTCTCTGATGTTGCGGAGGATGGCTATGTCCAGTACCGCAGGTCGCCCAAGGCCGAATGGAATGTAGGTTGGTTGCTCCGGACCGACGATGACCCCCGCCAGGGCATCGACGTGTTCCTGGAGCTGCCTTGCATTCCTGTCTTCGACGTTGTTGTTCCAAGCCGGAGACTTGCAGTTTAGATCTCCGATGACTATGCGTGCTCCTGGGCCTCTCAGGAGGTCAGCGATGTCATCTTCGTCTAGGGCCTCCCCTGGTGGCACATATAGGGAGGTGATTCTGTAGGGACGGTGGTTGTGATGGACCTGGACCGTGATTCCGTCCCCATTTATGTCTGCGGCATCGTCGAGGACATGACTCGTCAAGGTACGTTTGACGAGTAATGCGACTCCTCCACCTCTGCCCCTTCTGTCGTAGCGGTACGTCTCGTACCGCGGGAACGTCAGACTATGGGCAGCATCCAACTTCGTTTCTTGGATGGCCATCACCTCTGGTTGGTACTGGTCTAGTATCTCCTGGATTTCTGGTTTCCGTGCCCTGAAACCGTTGATGTTCCAGGAGATAATGCGTAGAGATTCTACGTTTTGACCTGTAGACATTTCGGGTCTAGTGCTTGTCTTGCATCTTGGCCTCGAGTGCATCCAGGCGGGTTATGATGGCTTGCATCATTGCTAGCAGTCTGTCATCGCCGTGTTGCTTCTGCGCAGTAGTTCCAGTAGCAGTGGCGGCTGCTGGGGCAGAAGTGGACATAGGCTTCTTCACTTTTTGGGCGTAAGAAGTCCTATTTGTGGTGGGGACTGCTTTGGGGGCAGAAGCAGCTTTCTTCGGCGCCTTACTACATCCCTTGTAGTTGGCGGGGTGGCCTTCTCCACAGAGGCAACACTTGGCGTTTCGTTGCCCTGTTGGCGGCGCTGGCAGACTGCAGCTGGTGCTGTTGTGGTCCTCTCCACACTTAACGCACCGTTCAGCGAGACGGCAGTTCCGCTGTGTGTGCCCGTACCGCTGGCAGCGGTAGCACTGGCTGGGCTCGGAAGACTTTTTCTTCCTCTCGAAGCTGACCGTGAGCATGGCCAGCCTCTGGATCTCTGCAAGCTTTTCCGGCACCTTCGTCTTGACGAGGAAGAGCGGAAGTGGCTTTTTTGTGGTCCTTGAGGTCAGCTGCTGAACCACGGCGTCTGCGATGCCTTGGCTCACCAGATCCTCTTTGATGTCATTGACTGACATCTCTCTCGGAAGCCCACGAATGACCCTCTGGTCCATCCTGTCCTCCTTCAGTTGATATGTGAAGAAGGGCCGCTTGATGGATTCAAGCAGTGCGACTAGCTGACGGTAGTCAGCTGGTGTATTTGTGAGTACCTTCACACTGGTACCCGCCGTCCTCGCTTTGGAGAATTGAATCCCCTTGCTGTTCATCATCCTACTCAAGGATGACCAATCAGCGGTGCCCTCGATGTTGATTGGCGGAACTCCTGTTCCTGCCATGGGGGCCTCGGTGGTCCTGGTTGCTCTAGGACCACTCTTCTTTGTGGCAGCTGGCATCTTTCGCTGCCTGGGTTCTTCTTCTTCTTCTTCGGAGGAAACTCGCACCCGCTTCCTCCGTCTGGTGGCGACACTGAAGTCGGTGTCGTCCGTCCTCTTCTCGGCTTCTTCTTCCTTCGGTCCTTCGGTCTGTTGAGTGCCCTCTTCTTGGGCGTCCATCTCGTCCGATGTCTCCTGGTGGTCCTCTTCCTCCTCTTCTCCTGTCTTCTTTGCGGCCTTCTTCTTGGCCCTGCGGAGCTTCCCGCTCAGGTCTTCAATCTCCTGCCTGGCCTGCAAGAATGCTTCTTGCAGGTTTCGCATCTGCTCTTCCAGCATGGCGAAAGCATCCTTCTTTTCTTTCAGCTGGTTAGCCAGCTTCTCAATTTTTGCCATCGTAGATGGCAAACAAACAATCTATCGCAATGAAAATTGCAATAAGATTGCTCAATATGTCCGGGTGGGTCGCAGTCGCACAAGTGTATGCTCGTGACGGCTGCTAGCTCGGAACTGGGCTCCATGATGAATTGGACACATGTGCTTTAAACAACTACTACGGCGCCACCTGCTGGAATGCGTGTATCAAAAATGGCGCGCAATTTAAATCAGTCAGTTATATATTGGCCATCCTGTATTATTCCCAACGGTTGTAAATAAAATGTTTGTGTCCATGAGCACTTTAGATTAGAGTGTGATAAAGAGCAATTTTCTAACAGTTTCGAGAGTTTTGACGGAAAACGGTTTTCATATCAGATTGTGCCAAATCCTTTGTTTTCCTCAAAGGTCTTTAAATCTAACCTTAGAGAAGAGAAAATGATTGGGGTATTTGCATTAAAAGCCCGTTTTCGCCTCAGTTTTAACGCTCGTAAGTTTCGCATGCGACCTCGGAAAACGGTGTTTAAATTCATTTTCATTGAGAAAAGTTCCAAGGCGTTTATGTAACACTTAGCACGTTTAGTTTCCAGTCATTCGTCGACCGAATCGCGTATTATCTCATCTTCTGATCTACATTACAGCCGCAATGGATGGCGAAAACGGATATATAGTAACCGGAAATATCTCATATTTTCTACTATTCCACATTTGGCAAATGGTAATTAAGAATTATGTGTTTATAGGTATAATTGTCTGACGATACGAACACAGTAAAAGTAATAATTTGTCATTTATCTTTTTCCTGTTAAGAAGTTACAGAGCTTATCTATCTGTGTTTTGAATCAACGTATTTGCCTGCCAGCAATTATAATGACTCAAATATGATGATGAGTTCTGAAGAGCTCGAATGCTCTAACAGCAGGGGGGATCTAAGATGACGTACGCCGCGCAATAAGCCCTGGGTCTTATCGGCCCTCAGGGTGGATAGAGTATTTGCGCTTCCTGTATCATAACCTTCCAAATCCATGCTTTTCAACTTAGTGCTTCATGTCCACAGATCCGCTACTATCTAAAAGCCTGCATTCCTTAGGATATATACAGTGTGGCCAACTAAGAATGCGAGGTACTGTATCTGGGAACATATCCATCGTAGAAGCTGGCGGTTATTACTAAAACGGCCAAGATAAAAACCTGAAAAATATTTTCAAGTTTCTGAAATCTAAAAAAGTGATGTATCTATGAATTCCGCTAAATTAACATAACAAAAAAATACCTGATGTTTAAATTCGAGGATAATCGGAACCTTTTTTGTTTGAAAATTTTTGCTGTATCTCTAAAAATAAATTGGTGGGGGTATACAAAGGTTTCCGTATCTTCGAAACACTCGATTTTAACAAGCTTGGGCTAGTTGAAAAAAGCTATTCTTGAGCAACAAATGTTTTAATATTTGAAGTTTTGATAGTTTCACATGTGGCCGCTAGAGGGTTTTTTACAGACAGAAATAGTAAAATTTCTCAAAAAATGAAATGCTCTGGTATGATTTTTTTATAAAAAAGTAGCTAAATGATGTATAAAAAAGCTCGCGAAATCCGCATCGCGATATCTTGTTCCTAACCTAAAATTTAGGCCAAACAAAATTTTATAGGGAAATGAATTTTAATTTTTTAAACTAATTTATCAATTATTCTTCTCTATTCATCAGATGTGTTGTGTATGTTCATCAGAATAAAATCAACCTTTTTGAAAATATTACAATATATTAAGAGGTAAGTAAGTAATGCACAACAACAAAGACATCAACATCAACAAAAGGTCTCAGGATGGCTTGAAGAATAATCTAGGTATTGCCCTCTACTCTTCGAGGTCTTATAGGAAAGGGGTTGAACTTTAGTTTGAACACCTACAAAATAATGATTTTTAGTTTTTAATTTAATTTTTATTGTGTTCAATTATTAAATCGCTCACAACTCGAAAAATGTCAACATCAGAGAAAAGTTTCTGAGGACTTTCTTGAGGTTGGTCCGTAAAACCTGGAAAAAATTGCCCGGGACGAAAAAATAATTCGCTTGAATAAAGTGTTTAAGCAAATTTGCTCCGACTTACCGACCTGCCCTATTGATTCATGTTGAGGGATATCCAATAACTGTGATTATTAAAAAAATCGAGTTCAAAAACATTTTCCCGAACAGGGTATCCTGGAAGTAATTTTGTAGTCAATTTGGAATAAGTAGTTAAAGCTGACATTTTTCTTTAATTACCTTCTAAACTTTCAAATTGCATTATACGGTACCAATAGTGTCTAAATTGATGTTCATATAACATCCTGAAGAGAATTTTAGGCTAAGTTTGATTTGAAGCAATTTTCAGCCTCGTTTGATTGGTCAATATTGGTTTGCTTTTTGATTTTTGCAGACTATACAAACATGTCATGTGACAGTCTGAGATGAAATTTTTTGTAAACCGTGAGGAAATCAAGATGCTTAGCATTAGTGAATCAGACTGTTTCCTGTTTTCGAACAAAACTTGCGGAGCCGCGGAAATTGAATTTATCGTATTTCCATGTAAATGCATTCGGTGGCAGAACCAACTAAGCAGTTTCAAAGAGTTACAGAAAAGCAGAAACTTGTATAAAAGAGCTTTTAATTTCGGAGTAAGTAGTTTACACCATTTTATATATTCAAGTTTTGAAAATACTGAACAGCTGGTTTACACATATTGTTCTTCAGCTATCCGCACTCTTAGCTCTAGTAGGTTGTAAGGAGAATGTTCAAGCACTCTCTTTCGATATCTCCGGGAAAAGAAGTCAGATACTCAGATCTGGCACAACGCAGACTACCCCACATCATCTTTAACAAGTCGAGATGTCCTGTGTGAGCTGTAGCTCTGTCCCCTAATCCCTCTTTCTCAACAAGCTCTTTCAATTTGGGCTGAGCTCACACGGCTCAACATTGAATGAATGTTTTGTAAGTATTGCTTCCAGAAGGTTTCGTCTCGTTGAATGATGGGCTCGCTGAATCACCAGATTTGACTGTCTGTGTTTTTGTTCTCTAGGGATGTTTAAACCAAAAAGCATTTTTCCCACACCCTATCAGAGCTAAGAAGTGAACACAATTCTTCGCGATATGTGTAAACGAGTTGTGCAGAGCTTCAGGAGTGTTGCTACTAATGGCCGCCAACTTGAAAACACTTAGTGAATGTAAAATGGTATAAACTGCTCATTCCAAAACAAAAAATATTATTTATAAAGATCCAGGTATATTTTTCACAACCCTTTGAAACTGATTTGTTCTGCTGCACCCTGTGTTTAAAACCAAAAGTACTACCTTAAAGGAATAATTATAAAGATTTTTCCTGAAGAGCAGATCGTTCAAGGTAGAAAGAAATATGACGAATGTTTAAATCAGAAGATCAATTGAATCGGTCAGTGTAAAAACCTCTTTAGTCCATTTTTTACTAAGATGTTTTTTTTACCGAGAATGCTTCATTAAATAATGTATGTAGATGCGTATACTGAGTAAACACCTCGTAAGTCACTATATTCCTTACCCTTGATGGTGGTTACTTCAACGGGTCATTTAAAAAACAATATTAGTATCCCTGTGTTGTCTTATTTTTACATTTATTTGCTATAACCACCACAATATCAATTTTAAATTCGCTGACTACAAAAATAAGGTTACGAGTCTTATCTGCTTTGCCCGAAGCCACTTTGAGAGATTTCTTGTTTCCTACCAAAACCATTGACTCAGTCTTTCTCATTTGTTTGACCGAGAAGGACCTTTAAATACGCTAAGAGCTATTCGTAAAAATAGTATAAAGATCGAATTACACCCACAGCGCCTATCTTGCAATGTCAACTTTCTTATTGCCTGGTGGGTTCTTCTTCAACTGATTGCCGATTTATTGACGAAACTTGAACGAATGAGTCTAGGTACTTTTTCATGATGGTCGATTCATGGCTTAGATGTAGGATGTGAATTTCTATATTCTCAAGCCTTCGCTTTACCCGGGTTTCCCCTATATACATTAAAAATTTTAAAACATGGAAAATTAAAACATGTTATTAAGTCAATAAGTGATTTTCAATAAACAATAAAAAATATGATTAATATATGGATATTACTTTTGCTTATATCACCAAGCCTATTCCCTGCTAAAACAACGTAAGTCCTAGCAGCTTTTCCATTATTATCATTAATAAATTGTGAAGGTTAATCTCAAAACGCCATTTGACACTGTTTTTTTTTTTGTCAGTGACACAGTTTTTACTGTATCCTGAAACATTCAAATTGTGGGACTTATGTTTTAGCAGAGACCGAAAAATAATAAAACGCATGAATATTGCCTTAAGTGTATTTAATCCAGTTAGTAGGTATG